TTTTTTTTTTTTTTTTTTTTGGTTTGGTTTCTCACCTACTCCAGACTAATCAATAAAGAACACAAGTGAATCAATTTGCCTTGGGTCTCCACTGGCCCAAAGTGAGGAGAGACCTGCTGCTTCTAGCACTATCCCTGGGCCATTCCAGGTCATGAAGACCCAAATACATCCTCAGACATGGACAAGGTAGAATAAGATACTTTCTGGGTCTTGTTCTTATTTTCCAAAAGTTAAAAATCATACAAATGAAAGATGGGGTCAGCACTATTCAAGCCTAACTTTGGTTTAATCTTTTCCTGTTCAATTATGGTCTCTAGGCATAAAAGATTTTAATAAACTTGACTAGGAAAGATGAACAGTAGAAAGGAAAAGATCACTTGCTCTAAGTTCAAGTCTCTTGATAAATTTCAGCTCAAATGGTAAGAAAATTCATAGAAGAAAATTACTAAAGGTGACTATTTTTGAGTAACTGTGAAAAAAGACAGTAATAAGGCACTACAATGGGTAAATATCCCCTGCTTTAAAAGGAAAGAAGGAAAGAAAAAGGAAGATAATTCTTCAAGCTATAACATAGTAGCTTAAGGTTGATCTTCATCAACATTTTGAGTTTAACAGATGGCTTATGAGCATAGACAATGAGGAGCAGTGACCCAAAAGTCACTGTTGAGAAGGATTGCTAAGAACAAGATTGTTTCAAACTAAACAGCTTTCATTTGTTGAGATCTAATAATAGCTACAATTTATTGAATGCCGCCATCCTCCAGCATTTACATATATTATTGCTTTCTTACAATGACCCTATGGGCAGTTATAATTATTCTTACTTTAAAGATAAGAAAGTAACTTGGTAAAATTATAAAGGTAGTCATAAAAAACAAGAATCAAATTCTGCCTGACTTTCCTAAAACTCTAGGATTATGGGAGGATTCGATTAAGTAAATGTAGGAACGATGTATTTGCATTCCAGCAAGGCATTTGATAAAGATTAGTAGGAGGCTGAATGCCCATGGCCAATATTGTGATTAGCAGCTCAAGGCCAAACAGGATGAGGGTGTGTAGTGACACTATTTGCTCCTGTTGGGACACCATCTAAACTACAGGTTTGGAAAAAGGAATGGCACAAACTCACCAAATATGGGAATGGCACAAACCTGGTTGACTTACTAAAGGACAAAATCAGGAGTCAAAGGGCTGCTTCCATAATTTGGAATGAAGTACTAAAATCCATTAGATGGAATTGATAGGGATAAAAGACTTATGGATGAGAAAAATTAATTCCATAAATATAAAACCAAAACCGCCTGAATCAAATATTTTCAATTGAGGAAACAGGAAGGAAAGAAACCATGGATGCCATAGATATATTTGTTATATGTGTTGATAATATGTTGTTGTTGTTGTTATTTGCCGTCAAGTCGGACCCGACTCATAGTGACCCCTCCTTGGGTTTCTGAGGCAGTATCACTACGGAAGTAGATTGCCCAACCTTCCTTCCAGTTGATAATATAGTGTCTACAAAAAAAGCTAATGTAATTTAGGACACATTCAATAGAACCATAATATTCAAATCAAGAGAGGTTATAGTCCCCACTTACCAGATCACATGTAGAATACTAGGTTCAATTATTTAATAAGCTAGAGAATGGTGGAAGAGGCCAGGCAGTAAGGTCATTTTAGAGGTTATATAGCCTGTGAAAGACTTGGCTTTATATAAAGGCTTAAATAAAACCAAAAAACAAACCCATTGCAATTGAGTCAATTCCAGCTTATAGCAACAGTATAGGACAAAGAAGAACTGCCTCATAGAGTTTTCAAGGCTGTAATCTTTAGGAAGCTGATTGCTACATCTTTCCCCTGAGGACTGGCTGGTGGGTTAGAACAGCCAACGTTTCAGTTAGCAGACAAGTGCTTAACAACCACTGCACCAGCGTGGCTCCTTAAAGGTTTCTTTAAAAAAAAAAAAAAAAAAAACTGCCATTGAGTCAATTCAATTCATAGTGACCCCTCCTTGGGTTTCCAAGGTGGTATCTCTACGGAAATAGATTGCCCA